CCACCGTCACGCGCACTGACTACTGGGGGGCGGGGGGGAATTACAGAGGTAGTCTCCCTCCCGCCTTTACTGGGCTTGCTCCTGGGCCCTTCTTTGCTCTGGCCCCCGTGCCAGGAGGCAGCACTGAGGGGGAGGAGGGAAAGCTACAGCGGTTGATAAGGGCGGGCAGTTCAAATCCAAGCGAGGGAAACCAACAGCAGCCGCATGCGGGGAACTGGTGCTGGCTAGAGGCGGCGGCTCCTCACCAGGGCAACGCGGTGGGGCCGGGGGCGAGAGAAGCTCGGCGGTGCCTCGGCAAGAGGCAGGGAGCAGCGCCCCGCGGGGGCAGCAGGGTCGGCGCCCCTCACTGCTCCCAGTCCGGCTTGCAGCACGTTGTTAACTTCAGTCCCCATCGCTCAGCCCCATTGACCCCCTCGGAGAAGCCCCAGGATTGTGGGGCAGAGATTTCCCTTTGCCCACTGAGTTGCCGGAGAAGGATGCGGGGGTGAAGCTCCTGCCTTCCTGGAGCCCATCATTCAAGGTCCGACAGGTGCTATTCCTTAGGTGGTTGGTCTAGTCAATTAGCCTCGTTGCTGTTGTTACGGGCACTAACTGCGGAGGTTACAGCTAATAAATATATAGACTAATTGGTTAAATTAATTGTTTTGTGACTCGAACGTATTTTGCCTCTGAGCTGCCTGATACCTTTGGAATGCATTGATTTATTTTTGCTTCTGCCTCTGCCTTATTCTGGAACGCTGTTCTCCAGTTAAGTATCACGGCTGTTCGCATCACATAGCACTTCCTCATCCGAGGATCTCAAATTGCTTCATAAAGCTGGGTAAGTTGCATACCCATTGTGCAGGGGGGGATTAGCTACAGCATCCTTCATAGTCATTAATATTGTTGGGTTGTAATGACTCATTTTGGGTCAATTAGATTGGGATACTTGCACAGCTTGATGATTCTTCAGGTAAAGTTTGTTTGCTGCAGAGACCAGACTTGATTTAAATACTGGAAAAGACTATTCATCTCTATATCAAGAATGCGTCTCTATCCCTTTGCTTAACATAGCAGGTGCACTGAGAAAGGAGGACAGAAATAAGTTCGGTGATGCTGGTAACGTACACCTTTTATATTACTAATCTAAAAGAAGCTTGTGGCAGTCAGTTCAGAACCCAGTCCTCTGACTGGTAGTTCTTTGTTCTAGCCACTATGCTTTCTTGTTTCCCAGTAATCATTGCATCCTTGAGCCACTTCAGAAGAGGGATCTTCACATGGAACACCTCCTCTCTAGACATCCTAATTCTCCCATGGCTTGGTTCTCTAAATATTTCATCCTGTAGATTGTCAGGAAGCACTCTGCGGCTCATTGGTAGTCCATTGACCACCGTTTGAGAGCCACAGTGTTTGAGAGCCACTGGTGCTCCTGCCAGGGAATGGGGTCAGGGTGTGGGGGCTTGCTCCCCTCCCCCAGCAGGAAGGCGCACGGAGCAGGGTAAGCCCAAGTGTCCTGACCCAGCTTCCCGGCAGGAGTGCCGAGTGGGTTGGAGCATGGGGCTAGGGTGCCCAGATAGCAAGTATGAAAAATAGGGACAGAGTGTGGGGATAATAGGCACCTATATAAGAAAAAGCCCCGAAGATCAGGACTGTCCCTATAAAATTGGGACATCTGGTCACTCTACATTGGGCACAGCCCTGTTGGCCCAGTGGCTAATCTGCCACTGGTTCACTTTGCCTCAGTTTTCTCACATGTGAAATGGGGATAATGACACTTCCTTTTGCAAAGTACTCTGAGATCTATGGTTGAAAAATGAAGTGTAACATCTAAGTATCATTAGGCTACTAAATTATTGGATTTAAACATGTTTCCTTGTGTTAAAGGAGAAAACTCTCATTAAAACACCAAATCTAGAATAACTTGAATAAAGAAAATTTTGAAAAAGGAATACTAAGGGAGGTTTTAAATGTCTCACTGAATTACAAAGAAAAAATATTTCACTCCAGTGGGAGATATCAATCCTCAAATGAAATGAGACTTGGTTTGTAAGAATTTGATGCGTAAATGTATACTAGTAAGTTTTGAAAAGGTTTTTTTTCCCTTTAATGTTGGATTTGCAACATTATGCCCTCAATCCTGCAAAATCTTATGCACAAGCTGAACTTTACTACTGTGAGTATTCCCACTGAAATAAAAATCAAATACATGCATAAAGGTTTGCAAGATGGGGGTGCGGGTTAGGAAGTGTTACCAAGAATGATTACGGATCATGTTCTGTTTGTCTGCTCTATTTCAATGCTTCTAACCTACAATGTTAAGAATATATAGTGTCAATTCAAGGAAGTGTATAAGAAGCTCAGAAGTGCTCTTCTCTTCTCCCCCCATTCTCCCTCCCCACATTTTTTTTGTTAAGTTTGTAGTGCTTTTGGATATTATTTTAATAAGGCAAAAATTATTTTTGCCATATCTCTCTGCCAGTTCAGATCTCTGTTACAGAGTTACTTGAGTTCTTTTTTTCCTTTTTTACCTTCTGTTCCTTTTGAGACAAAGAGAAATGATCAACTTTTACTTCTTTAAAAGTATAGCATCCTAATTACAGCTTTTGATATCCTCTACTTTCAGTTGTTTGTAATGTTAGAACTAAAAGTAAATATTGTCGTCCTCCTCCCCACCCCTCCATCTTTCCCGCTGTATTTTGACTGTATTGGAAAGCAAGGACCAGATCCTGCAAACACTTATGTACATGCTTCGCTTTAAGTGCATGCATAGTCTCATTAAATTCAATAGAACTATTAATGTGTTTAAAGATAAGTATGTACAGTATCTATGTTTTTGCAATATTGGAGCCTTGAATGGCTATTTTAAAAGCTATTTACAACTATTTAGCAATTAATTCTAAAACATCTTTGTCTCCTTCCCTTCTAGAAGGTTTTCGGCATCTCTTTGCAGGCAGAATGCCTTTCAATGCATCTGGCTGATTCATATTGCTTCCCTCAGCATGTTTCTGTTGTGTACTCTGTAGGGGCTCTGCTCTGAGCACTCCCAAAATGTTCATTTAGGTCTACCAAGTCCCTGTGTCCTGTTATGATCCACTTACTTTGGAGGTGTTTGGACCTCTTGCATGTGGTCCTCCCCATCTGTTGGTCCCAATACAAGCCTGGTCATGTATCATCTCTTTACCCTAGCCTACACTTACAAGCATTTATTATCCTACTGGCAAAACCCTACCTCCCATGTTACTGTTCAGTCTTTTGCCTCATCACCTGCCAATACTCTGTGTCTGCCTTATCCTTGCCCTTTACCTAAGCGTTAGTTTCCCCACACACTGTGTGCTGTAGTCTTGTTGCTACAAAGAAAAACTCTCCCCTTTACACATCCACCACTAGCAAATGGAATTAAAAAAAAAGGGACCTTTCATCTTTGGGATATTGGGTAATTCAATGCCCCAAATCCATCAAAAGATGATTCTGTATAACAGAGGGTGGCACAACTACTTTTTTTCTAGTAGTGGGAGGCCCAACTGGCTCAGGGTCCTTGGTACACTGAAGACATCCCACTCTGGTAAATGGCCCATGAAGACCTATTTTTGTCTGGTATGAGAGACCAGTGACAATCTCTAGGTATATTTCCCAATTTACTAGAGTTAGAAACTATTATACACTGCTGCAAAGCTTGGAATTAAAAGATGTGTAACTTTTTGCTAGCTTTGGTGGCTCATGAGATCTTTGTCCTTATGGTTACATTATTCAAATTATTCTTACGTCTGCTGTGTCCTGGGCTTGCAAAATAGTAACCTGGTCTATGTCCTTGCCAATCTGATCTGGGAAGGAGAGGGAATACGTTTTTATATCTTTATAGAAATAGGAATCAATGCCTTAGGTAATCATATCCTTCAGAGAGAAATCACATAAGTACCTAATTCTGTTGTTCCCTTGAAAAGAATGTGTCCTTTCTGACTATGCAAAAAGCTTATTACCATAGGGCAGAGTATCTCTTTCTCCCCACATATACGGGAAGAGTGCTAATTAGTTCTCCAGTGCCCATAAATTGTATAACCACAAGGTAGGAGCTATATTACCCCAGATCACCAAGAGACTGAGCAGAAATTCTTGGTGGTTTCTGTTCAAAGTTGTAAAGAAAATGTCTTGGAGCAGTGTAGTGACCAACACTAGACTGTCCCTTTTGTGTAACTGGAACTCAACTGTTTCCAGTGTTGAAGGACTGAAGGATCTGAATAAATTTGTGGAAGCTTGCTGACTCTCTAGACAATTAGTTAGGATTATCAGCCACCAGGGCTCTCTCTTTCTTTAAACAAACCAAACTGCCACAAAGGCTTTTTTCTTTTCTCCCATCAGCACTAATAAAATAGACTAATTCATGAGTTTCAATCCCCTGTTGGCTCTCAAGAACTGAACTGGCAGAACGTAGAGGGACTCTATGTACATGAAGGGTGAAATTCTGACCCTATTGAAGTCAGTAGGAGTTTTGCTATTCACCTCAATGGGGCCAAAATTTTGCCCATTGTCTATGATCGGACTGAACCTATTCTCCATGGATGATGATGACTGGTAGATCAGCTATTTAATCAGATGTGTTTTTTCACATACTTGGTTTTTCTTATGCCATGTTTTTTAAGCTGTTCATCCCCATTATTTTACATCAGTAAAATATTTACTATCTATTTATCTTTTTAAATATTGATAGTGCATCCATCATGCTAGAGTGTGAGTGCTGTTTCCACAGAGATGCAATAAAAATATTTTTCACTATGGTTACTATTTTGATGGTGAAAGAATGTTATTTAAATGAAAATAAATCATCTTAGATATAATTTGATATCCATTGGTAACTGTATTTAAAATAAGTTCTTTAAGGCTCATTCTAGAAATAAAATGCTGTCTTCACTTTACAGAATCAGAGAAATTCCAAGTGAAAGATGTCAGAAAGTCGCTCAGTGCTGTCTATTCTTAAAAGAGGCAGGTTGACTTCTCCCAGCAACAATGTGAAATACTCCAGCTTTAAAGACTCTTGTTCCACCTCCATATTTCATGATAGTGGATTTAATGTATCATTAAAAGACCCTAGCTTTGATCATACTGAAGCAGAACATAAAGATGAACTGAGCGCGAGACCTCTATCATTACTACATGAGTATTCTGAACATTCACACCCTAATTTAGTAATTCCAGTGTTGTCTCCCATCGAAAATGGAAAGAATTCTATCTCCTTATCTGAAAGAAGAGAGGCAAATGTAGCTACAGATTTTTTTGAAACTCCGAAAGTAAGTAAAAAAGACTCATCACTGCGTAGGAGACTGCTTCTGTCTAAAACTGCTTTGGGAGGCATTGTAGGATGCTTTGAAAGACAAGCCAATTCGTCGGATTGCAGTAGGAAAAAAACATTATCTCATGTTCTCAGCTTTGACGAAAGACTTTCAAAAAGTTCTTCGTATTCTCCAAGAGATAACACTTACAAACCTCTAGCTACTAGCACTTTAAAAACTGAGGAGTTTAGTCCTGCTTGCCAAAAATTGAGACTTGCCTTTTCACAGCAAAGGACTTCTACAGTAGATGATTCCAAATGTAAAAACGACTTGTTGTCAGAACCTGAATGTTTATCTCCAATTCACCTTAATACTTCTAAGGACACTATTATTGACAAGACTCCTAATGAGTTCAGTGATAGTGCCCTTACAAGCATTAATGATGAAAGCACCTACCTGGAATTGCTTAGAACCCCTACATGTTGTATGTTGTCTGAGACGAATGAGGATAAATTTCTGACTCCAGTCAGCAACCTAATAGCAGATTTTAACTTTGATTTACTTGACACAAATACTCCCCCTACTCATGTGGTAAGTGACTTGGACTTTTCAGTGCCTGAAGACAGTGGGTTTAATTCCCTTGGCTTAGATAAATCAGAAGATTCCTCTTCAGATCATGAGGGATCTTTCCAAGAACTCCTTCAAAAACAAAAGGAAGTTTCCAAACTTCTGGATGCTAAAAGAAAGTTAAGAAAACTCGACCGAGTGAGGAGGTTATCCACCCTTCGGGAACGGGGTTCACAGTCAGAGACAGAGGAAGACTATGATATTACACTAATTAATTCAGAATATAAATTAAAAGTAGCAAGAGACCCTGCCAGTGAAGACAGTGGATTGGTTTTTAATGAGGAGAATAGTGCAGATTTGATTCTAAATCTTGGGGATTTATCAAGAACGCCTGCTTTACAAGTAGTCCATGAAATCTTCATGCGAAGCAAAAGAAAAAGACCAGAGCAAAATGGACTCTTGGAGAACTCTGAAAGAGCTGAAATGTCTGTATTAGAATATATTCTTGCTGGACTCATAGGCAAAAAAATGGGCCTTGAAAAATTAGATATTTTAACAGAATTAAAATACAGAGATTTAAAGCATATTCTTGCTATAGTTTTAGGTGCTTTGACTGTGGAAAGCCTATGCAGGTAAGAAATACAACTATATACCTTTTTCAAAATTTTGAAAATAAGGGTTTTTTCCCTGCTAATGAGTTGGGGAGCTGGAACAGTGGCCTGAACAGTATTACTCCCATGTAACAAAAATAACATTAATTTGCTACTGATGCGTTTGAAGTAACAAAGAGATGAAAGAATGTCACTTGTAATTAAGTTCTATCTAATAATAAAGACTTAGGGTATTAATTCCCATTTTTTTTGTAATCAGTGAAAATATTCATAAATGTTAAGCTTAGCTCATTTCCCAGAGCATCAGTTTATGATGGTGCAATATTTTGTTGCAAATCTAAAATATCAGTAGCATAACAAGACCCCAGAGACTTCTAGTGTTATAATAGGTTAGGGGGCCCCCCTTCCCAGTTCCAAAATTCACCTCCCTCCAGTCCTGTCCCCCCACAGCCTCAATCCAGCCCCCTTAACCCCGTCACCTACCTCCTCTTTAGCTCCCGGCCTATCCAGATACCTAGCTTCTCCCCCAGCTTCTACCTCCTTCAGTCCAGCCATAGCTCCCGCAGGCCTGATGCAATCCTCCCACCTTGGTCCCTCCAGTTCCACTCCAGCCCTCCCCCCACCACGCTCAGCAGCTCTGATCCAACCCCCTAGTTCTGCTCCAACCCTCTTCCCCTCAGCTCTCAATCTGCCCCCCTCTCCTACCCTATGCAAAGCAGTCAATGGTTTTTTACCTTGTGTTCTGTCTTAGGAGATGAGCCCTCCCTTACCCCATCTGTATTTAATTCCACATGGTGATGCAGAAGAATATGTGAGGCAATGTTATGTTTCAAGTCAAGTCTGTAAAGTAGAGTTTGTTACAGTATATTGCAACATTCTGCAAAATGATCAAGATAACATTTTAAGTCATGATAAAACTGAAGGGGTTAATTTTTAGTATTAGGATCTTAAACTATACCACTCATAAAAACTTAAGCAAGATTTGAAAGGTGGATGGTATTTTTTTGTTTTGTTTCAGTATTTGGAAAGTAAGCAAGAACTGGCGTGAAATTGTTATACAAGACAAAAATGCATATCTCAGGAGAAAGCTGTACATAAAACAGCTGAAGGCGGAAGCTGGGGTAATGTATCTCCCAAAGGGAGTATTCTAAATATTGGGCGTGTTGGAAAGATTTGGGGAGAGGGGAAGAATGTAAAGATCCTAGCAAACTGTAGAAATCTCCCAGCTGACAATGAGAGTTGTAAAATCTTTACCCAGTAGATATGACTCAGAATACATGCTGAGACCTATTCTGAGTAAAAAATGTCATTTTTAGTCTTTTTACTCTAGCCACACTTCAAGGAAAATGTTTAAAACATGGTAGTGCTTGGAATCAATAAAATTTAAAGCGAACCAGGTTTGGGTTTAAAATCCTGTCCCTTCCTCTTAATCTCTCATATGCCCCATTTCAACACCTTTTTCTTTTTCTTCCATTTTAATCCCTGCTTGTAGGTCCAGTAGGACTAAAATTGTGACTCCTTCCCAATTGTTTGATTTGTTTTTTCTTTGTGGCTTAACTTACCTCTAGGGTAGGGATTCCTTGAAGTGATCTGATGTGAAGTGACTATCCTATAAGCAGTTGGAAGTGTTTCCTATTCAGATTTCTGAAGTAGGAAAGATATCGGATGGAATTGATGAGGGATGAGGTCTTGTAAGTGGTAAAGGAGAATCAATTTGGTCACCCTGAACTGATCTTTATAGACCACAATATTTCCTCCAATGGGTCCTCTTTTGTCCACCTGTCCATTAAATACTAAACTTGTACTTGAAGAAATTTACATGTTTTGTACCTCTTTATTGTGAAAAATAAAAATAGTTCTAAAACAAAAACAAAGCAAGCTATATTAAACAAAGCCCTGGTTATCTTGGTACGCATTGAAGCTGATTTCTCTTCTTATCATCATCATCTATAACAGGGATGTCTCTTGCATGTTGAAGATGCCGCCACAAGACTTAATATGCTACGTAGATCTGCTCTAAGACCTGTTCAAGCTCAAGCTAAAATTGCTGTGTTACAAACACCACCTTCTTGCAATGAGCTTTTAACACCTACAGGATGCAGTTCTGTTCCCCAGTCAACTAGTAAACAGGAAGAGTACCTTAAGGTAAGCAATGTAGCCAGGTGTTAGCATTGAAAATAAAGATTTCTTAAGACTACATCTTAAGAAGTCTAAGATTACAGTCAAGAACTGCAGATATTAAATGTCATTTTCTCCCCTATTGACACAGATTGCCAAAACCCTTTTTATTGATGAAGCTTTAAAACCTTGTCCAAGATGTCAGTGCCCAGCTAAGTATCAGCCCTTAAAGAAAAGGGGACTATGTAGCCGAGAAGCCTGTGCATTTGACTTTTGTATTTTGTGTTTGTGCACCTTCCACGGGTCAAAAGAATGCAGTAGTTCATCTGCAAAGCAGCGAAATAAAAAAGATGCTCTTCCAGGAAGTGCCCAAAGCAAGAGAAATTTAAAACGACTCTAAATTTATAAGGAACATAGGTTTCCCTACTCTCTCTCAATTTTTGATCTTGTCTATATTTTTTATTAATTATGCATATTTTGAAAGTAATATTGTCATTTTGCCCAATAATTAAGCTGATGATTTCTCATGTACATATCTTAAATTAACTTAGTGCATTTTGGTAAGTTTTTGAAAAAAGTGAAAAAAATTTTAAACTTTTAATGTCTTGTTTTACCCGTCATGTAGCCAGACACTTCCAACATCTTAATTTTTCAATAAAGTACTTTCAATATAGTCTTCAATATCTATTTTACATCACTTGAAAATTTAAAGTTGTGATTCTTGTCTCAATTGCAAATTAAAGAGAGTTTTTATGATTCAATCTTTTCTATAGGTTTTGTTATGAGACATTTTTAAAACTACAGTTTTTAAAAACATGCTGTGATAAAGCATTAGATAAGCACCGACTCAGAGGAAATACTACCACCTAGTCAATAGGCAATGCTGCTAAGATAGAATATTCAATATTTTTTTTTATTTTAAAGCTAGATGGAACCATTATGTTGATTTAGTTTTATCTCCTGTATTACACAGGCTGAAGAACCTCATCCAGTAACTTCTGCATCAAGCCCATAATTTCTGGTTGAGCTATAGCATATCTTTTTTTAGAAAGATATCCAGTCTGGATTTAAAGATTTCTGGTGATGGAGAATCCACCACATCCACCTATGTAGTTGTTCTGGAGGTTAATTACCCTTATTGTTTTAAAAATATGCACTTTATTTCTAGTCTGAATTTGTCTAAAATCAGCTTCCATACATTGAACTTTATGCCTTTTTCTACTACTGAGCCATCTGTCACAGTTTCAGGATTAGCTGTACCTTGCCCCTAGTCTTCCTCAAGGGCACCCACTTAAGGTTTCAGGCTCCTAGCTGTCACCTCTGTTGGGTAGAGACCTGCATCTCTCTCCCTCAAGACTGGGCATTTAGGCTTGCAGTTCTTCTTGCAGTCCCACTTCTGCACCTCACTGTGATTTTCCCCAGCAGGTCTGACTGGGAACCAGCACCTGTGGTTAACCTTTCTCTAGGGGTTGCAACAGTGTATACCAGTTACTAACCAGCCTTCTTTAAATACATTGGGAGCAAGAGACAGACAAAGGAAAGCATAGGTCCTCTACCTAGCATGGAAGGAGAGCTAATAATTAATGACATCAACAAGGCTGAGGTGTTTGTTGCCTATTTTGCTTCAGTCTTCACTAAAAAGGTTAATGGTGACCAGATACTCAACACACTTAATATTAACAACAAGGAGGCAGGAATGCAAGCCAAAACAGGGGAAAAAACAGGATAAAGAATATATAGATAAGTTAGGTATATTCAAGTTGGCAGGGCCTGATTAAATTCATCCTAGGGTGCTTAAAGAACTAGTTGAAGCAATCTCAGAACCATTAGCAATTATCTTTGAGAACTCATGGAAGTTGGATAGGGTCCCAGAGGACTGGAAAATGGTACTATATTTGCCCTTTTTTTTTTTTTTTTTTTTTTTAAGGGTACAAAACAGACATAGAGAATTATAAACAAATCAATTTAACTTCAATACCCGGAAAGATACTGGAAAAAAGAAATAATCAATTTTTAAGCATCTACACGAGAATAGGGTTATAAGGAATAGCTGCCATCTATTCGTCAAGAACGAATCATGCTAGATCAACCTAATTTCCTTCTTTGACTGGGTTACTGACCTAGTGGATCAATGGGAAGGGGTAGATGTGATCTATCTTGATTTCAGTAAGGCTTTTGACACAATCCTATGTGACATTCTCATAAGCAAACTAAGAAAATGTGGCCTAGATGAAATTACAATCAGGTGAGTGCAAAACTGGTTGAAAGACTGAACTCAGAGTGGTTATCAATGGTTCACTGTCAAAGTGGGAGGGCGTATCTAATGGGGTCCTGCAAGGGTCAGTCCTGGGTCTGATACTAGTCAATATTTTCATTAATGACTTGGATAATGGAGTGAAGAGAGTATGCTTATAACATTTGAAGAGCACACTAAGCTGGCAGGGGTTGCAAGCACTTTGGAGGACAAGATTAGAATTCAAAATGATCTTGACAAATTGGAGGATTGAATTTCATCTTGTTAAATTCAGACCAATAATGGTGAGTGCAAATGCACAACTACACAAGGGAGAATAACTGGCAAGGTGGCATTACTGCTGAAAAGAATGTGGGGGTTATGGTGAATCACAAATTGAATATGAGTCCATTCTGATGCAGTTGTGAAAAAATCTAATATACTTCTGGGGCATATTAACAAGAGTTTTGTACATAAGACACGTGAGACAGTTTTTCCACTCTACTCTGCCATGGTGAGACCTCAGCTGGAATACAGTGTTCATCCAATTCTGGGTGACACACTTTAGGAAAGATGTGGATAAATTGGAGAGAGTCCAGAGCAGAGCAACAAAAATGATACAAGGCTTAGGAAAAATTAAAATATTGGTCATGTTTAGCTTTGAGCAAACAAGACTGAGGGGGGCCTGATACCTGTCTTCAAATACATTAAGGGCTCTTATGAAGAGGACAGGGATCAATTGTTCTCCACGTCCACTGGAGATAGGACGAGAAGTAATGGGCTCAATCTGCAGCAATTTAGGTATAAGTTAGATAATAGAAAAAAATTTCTAACTACAGAGGTGACGTTTTGGAATAGATTTCCAAGGGAGGTTGTGGAATCTCCATTAGAGACTTTTAAGAACAGGTTGGACAAACACCTGTCAATGATGGTCTAGGTTGACTTTGTCTTTCCTCATTGTAGGGGGACTTAACTTGATGACTTCTTGAGGTCCCTTTCAGTTCTACATTTTCTAAACAAAAAATTACATTTATTCTTGTGATAACAGTATTGCAGAGAAAACTTACAAAAACAGTCAAAGTTCCTGTACACACACTAAAAGCTTACTAGAGCTCACCCATCAGTTTTATAGGGTCCTATTAGACCAAAGGCCTTCCAGTCCTTCCGCAAGGGTTTGGGGCCCCCTACTGAGTAAAAGTTGCTGTTCATTTGCTGAATCAAAAGAAGGCCCTGTGTCCCAGTTTAAACTCAGCCTTTTTATACCAAAACCCCTTTCTCTGTCAGTCTCTGGAAAACCCAGTTTGAACCACTCTATACAAACCTCCTCAGGGCATGGTACCTCACTGGAGGTGTTCACAGCCTGCATAATTCATCTTAGTCACCCCCACACTCACTCTTTTTATTTCCTGGAGAAGCAGTAGTAACCCTGCCCCACTGGAGTTGCTCACAGTGACACAGAAACCATTCATAAACTTAAAACAATATGGTCCCCACAATACTGTGTGCTGTTGCAATATCTGTCACATCTATCAGAAATGTCTTCCAACGTAGGTAACTGCAGACTGTGATCAAGCAAGTCACTACTTAACCTTCTCTTGGATAAACTAAATGGATTGAGCTTGAGTCTCTTGCTATAAAACTTGCTTTCCAGACCTTGAATCACTCTTGTAGCTCTTCTCTGAACCCTTTTCAATCTTTCAACTTTCGTTTTTGAAGTGGGTACCAGAACTGAGTCACACTAATATAATATATGGCATGTAATAACATCTCCCTATTCTTACTTGATATTTTCCTGCTTCTACGTCCAAGGATCTCATTTGCCCTCTTAGCTATGGCATTACACTCGGTGCTTAGGTGCAACTGCCAACTACCCCTAACTTTGTCTTCAGTGTTGCTATATTCCAGGATGCAGTCCCCCATCCTGTGTGATCTACGTTCTTTGTTCATAAATGTCTGACTTTACATTTGGCTGTATTAAAATGCATGTTGCTGAAAAAAAGCCTATTTTACCAAGTGACCCAGCTTGGTCTGTAATACTCACTTGTTCTCATCATTTAAAATTCCCCCAATTTTTGTATCATCTGTAAATTTTGCTAATAATGATTTTATATTTTCTTCCAGACAATTGATAAAAATATTTAATAGAATTGGGTCAAGAACAGTCCTTGTGGGACCCCTTTAGATGTCAATTTCCCATTTATAGTTTTTACAATTGATCAGTTAACTAGTTCTTAATCTATTTAATATGGGCTCCATTGTATAGTGTTAATTTTTTTTTACAATGTCATTTGTGACTAAGTCAAATGTCTTAAGAAGTCTAAGTATGTTATGTGAACAGTTTCCTTTATTAACCAAACTTGCGATTTCATAAAAAAAGACATTGTTTGACAAGACCTATCTTCCATAAAACCTTGTTGATTGGTATTCATTATGCTACCATCCTCTAATTCTTGACTGATTGCATCCCATATCAGCCTTTCCATGATTTAGCTCAGAATCAATGTCAGACTTCAGTTACCTGGGTCATCCAGTTTGCTCTTTATTAAAAATTGGCACAACATTAGATTCCCCCCTAGTCCTCGGGAAGTTCCCCAGTGTTCCAGGATTTGTTTAAAAATCAACATTAATAGTAAGTTATTTTAATACTCTTGGGTGTTATCTGGTCCTGAAGATTTAAAAATGTTTAATGTTAATAGTTGCTGTTTAACATTCGGTTACTATAGTGTGCTGATACCATTATTAGTTTTAAGCGAAGGTCCCAGTTGGAAAGCCCATCTCTACACAAACACAATTACCAGTTTTATGCATCCAAATTCCTTCATTACTCTAAAATGAATGCAGCAAATAGTAATATCAGCAATGTTTGCTGTATAAGCAAATATGATACGGGGCATAGTAGTAACTGCAACACAGAATCAAACATCATGTTATCATACCATTCAGTCCACTTATTCCTAGGGAAATTCTCCAGTCTCTCTTTTGTATTTCTGATCTCTATTCTGAATAAGCAAAAATCGCTCCACCCTGAAATGGATGCTGTGGACCCTGGCCTGCTTAGTGAAAACCTAGGATTTCTAAAATGGTGCCCAAGCAAAGAATCAGGTCTGTGTGTATGTGGATGGGCAGAATCACAGCTCTGAGGTAAATGACAACAGTGAGCCATGTGCAAGATTGGTGGCTACTGAGTATGGGTGGCTATTAAGCATGGCTATTGAGTAAGGAGTGACAGAGAGGTCAGTTAATTTATCAGCTAGCTGGTCATAGCCCACTCATACTGGTCACAACTTGTTTTAAAGGTCAGAGCTGTCAATCATAATTCTGAGGTAATGGTTGGTACTGAGCATGTGCGAATGGGATAATTGCTTAAGGGTATTTAAGGAAGTCCTAGGAGAGTGTAAAAGGCCAGACACAAAGCAGAGCAGTCAGTTGATGGGGAGAGAAGAAGATTTGGACTGGAAAAAGAGAATTTGATCAGAAGATGACGGGGAACTGGAAGCCAGAAAAGAGAGAGCTGCTGTAAAGAAGTCAGAAAAGCTGCTGCAGAGAAAGAGAGAAGAAAACTGGGGCAGAGCAAAGCTGACTGACCAGGAGCTGAACAAAGACCATGATTAGGGAACTGGGA